AGAATTGATGACAAGATCAAGCCGAGAAGAGGGGATTTCCCTGTGGCCAAAAGAAGAGTATCCCGGCGACCGCTGCCAGCCTCTGGAATCTCTGCGGCAATTCATTCTCTGGCTTTTCTCTCCCCTCCCAGATTCTTATCGATCAGAACACAGTGGAGATTGTAGTGAGTACGTAGCTGGTGGAGGCTACACCAATGACACCAACAACTTGCCTTCTTGCTGCCTCCCATGCAGAGTTTGTAAATCAGGTACAGAATGTGTGGGCCCCTCGCCCAGAAGTGAGGGTGGGGCAATGAGGTGGGAGTTGTAGCCGATGTGAGTCAGGGAACCAAGTTCCAGCCCAACTTGCTCTTCATCATACCCTGTTCCATGATTGTGACTTCGGTTGATAAAATAAAACAGAAAGAAATCGTATTCATAATGCATGCCACCTGGTAGTGCAAACTGTCAGCTGCAAGAGGGTGGGGGCATCATTATAGCACAGAGAAGGCCTGGCCGAGTCGACAGGGCTGGGTTTCAGCGGTGGCAAGGGCCTGCTCTGGGGCCAGTCTCTCTCCCCGGGCTTTATGCTCCCGGCAGGTGCTCAGCCTCACTCAGCCTTCAGGTTCTCAGGCCCCTTTCTCCTCCCCAGCAGGCTGGGTTTTTGGGAAGTCACACAAGGGCTCCTCTCCTTGCAGAGTCCCTCAAATGTCCCTGCGCCTTTTTTGCTACTGACCATGTGATCAGAATGGTGTTTTTCCCCTAATCTGATGTAATAAATAATGAATCGTGGTCCTTTTTATTACTCTGAGTATTGGTGACAGCCGAAGGGTGGGTGTCCTGTGTGAGCCCCAAGTGTGCTGGTGCGGAACCAGCCCTCAGAACTCCTTGGTGAACCAAGTTGAGCTGAGCTGAGTGGGAGGGGGTCGGGGTGGTGAGGAAGGGTCGAGGGACACGTCAGGGAAACACATTCCCAAAGCCTTGTGCTCTGTCATCAGATGAAGTAGAGCGAAGTCCCTGCAACAGGACCAGGAACACAGTGTGTGAGTGCAACCCAGGCACCTTCCGGGAAGAAGAGTCCCCCGAGATGTGTCGTAAATGCAGCACACGGTGAGACAGCAGCCAGGGGCTCCCAGCAGCCCCAAGGAACCCCCAGGAACCAGGAACCTCAAAAAGACCTGAGTCTCCTTGTGCCTGTATCTCCCCCGGACCCCATGGTGCCTCCTCTCCCATGGGGCATCCCTGACCATGTGAGGTCTTCTGAGCCTGCAGTGGCCCCTCCTGGTCCATCTGACCGTCCCCACCACCGCCTTCTGCAGTGGCCCTCTCCTGCCTCTCCAGCACAAGTCCCCTTGGCCAGGCTGACTTGTTCGCTGGTCTCAGGAGGCCGTGACTTAAGAACCCATCAGAGAGGTGCAGGAAATATTTTATCTTGAAATCATAAGAAAATAATGACATAGAATCCAGCCAGCGTTGTATTTATACTTAAACTAATTGAGTCCTAAAATGTAACTTTTAATATTTGCTTTTAATGTAAGAAGACAGAAATGCCCACAGCCCGCTAAAGGCTTAATAAGGCCATGGGTGGAGCTCCCTTAAGTTCCCATGAGGACCTGAGCCAACCCAGCTGGCCTCACCCTGGCCTCACCCTTGGACTTGGTAGCACACCCCTGTAATCCCAGCTGCTTGGGAGGCTGAGGCAGGAGAATGGCATGAACACAGGAGGTGGAGGTTGCAGTGAACTGAGATTACACCACTGCACTGATTTCTCAATAAGACCTGTCCTTTTCCTATTTGGGTTTTAAGGGCCAAGAGTAATTTGCTCCCTCCCTGTGTGTACCCAGGTGCCCCAGTGGGATGGTTCCAGTCAGTAAGTGTACGCCAGAGAGTGACATCAGATGTGAAGAAAAATCAGGTACAAAGCCCACTGGGGAAGCCCCAGCTGCGGAGGAGACAGTGACCACCGGCCTGGGGACTCCTGTCTTTTCCTGTCTTTTCTCAGGCAATGGACTTGTGTTGGTGATTTCACTTATAATTGTTGCGATTCTTCTGGTTGTGTTCATATCGATTATCTGTTGGTGGATCTGCTCAGGTAGGTGCTGGCTGAGGACAGGGATGCTGGGCACTCTCTGCCCTGGCTCCTCCTGTTCACACAGACAGAATCGCCCACCTCTGCCCCAAGTCCTGGTGTCTCCATCCTGGCATCTCCGTCCTGGCTCTATCTTCCTCCTTGTGATCACCCCCATCTCCCCATCCTGTGCACCACGCAGGACCTTGGTCTTATCAGTCCCTCTCCCAGGGCTGGGGTCCCCTCATCTCCCAGTCAAGTCTGAGAGGGCAGGGCCACTTCCTCCTATGTTCAGGCCCAGCCAGGAAGGGGACAGTCAGCTCCTCAACTGGGTGACAAGGGTCAGGACGAGATGTGGTCAGGGGATTTATTTAGCTTTGGTCAGAGCAGAACACAGCAGAACACAGAGACTGTCCACATGTTTTTACTCCACTTCCCCTTATACTCCCCGTCCTGAGGGAGTTCCCGAGTTGGCAAGGCCTCATGTGGATCCCAGGCCCGGGGCTCCTTGTCCAGTGTCCTAGCCCCCAGCCCACCCCTGCCCAACACTGCCCTCTAAGGAGGAGTGCTGCATGGGCCCTTCCCTGCCCACTGAGGAAACTCCTTTCTCTTCTAGGTCGTGGAAGAGGCTTCAAGTGCATGGACAGCGTAAGTTGATTTCTCCAGGAGCTAGGGGCATCCGGGGCTCAGGAACTGCCCCCTGCCCACAGTATAGCCCGGGTGGGTGGGTTCCATGTTCTCACGGCTGCCCTGAGTCTCTGAAGTGGCCTGGATGCTGCAGATTGATTTTTGGGGACACAGGCCATTTGGAGCATCACACAGGCTGGCAGGCCATGCTGTGGCCATGTCCCTTCCTGTAGCCTGGGTGGCACCCTCACCCAACCTATACCCTGGGGATGGGGGTGAGTCCCTGAGCACAGCACCAGGGCCTGACCCCAGCAACAGGTCCTGGGTGTACTAAGCCTGGACTTCCTGGGGTGACCTCATTGGGAGGGGGTAGGGGCAGGAGGTCCAGCTGTGCCCTGGGGACGCAGTGGGGAGCCCTGGGTGTAGGCTTCTACATTGGCTCTTTGCCTTCCTAAGATCTGTTCCTTCGGCTGGTGTCCTCTACGAGGGCCTGAGGCTAAGGACAATGACCACAACGAGATTCTGAGCAATGCAGACTCACTGTCCACTTTCGCTTCTGAGGAGCTAATGGAAAGCCAGGAGCCAGCAGATTTGACAGATGTCATTGTACAGACCCCCGGGGAGGCACAGTCTCTGCTGGTGAGTCGGGGTCGGGCCTCTTCAAGACCTTATAGGCAGAGAGCGAGGGCCGTGCCTCAGTTCTCCTGGCCAAGGGGGACGTGGAACCTGAGGGAGATGGGACTGCAGGGAACGGGGCTGCATGGGAAGAATGAGCCGCCCTCACAAGGGCACAGCCACTCTGCAGGACATCTGCTTGGTAGTCCCTGTCCTGTCCTTGCTGTGTCCTCAGAACCTGGAGCTCCACAGGCATAGAGTGGGGGTCACAGTGTTCATTGATGACTGAATGATGGCTGCCCGGTCTCCACTTTGTGCTCCTAACAGAACTCAGGAGCCCTTGCTCTTAACAGCAGGGGTTTAAAATTTACTCTGAAATTAGTGTTGCATCAAATAGATTTGAATGTAAATCTCTGTCCAGATTTCTGAGTATGGTTGTATGGAGACTTCTAAGAAGAAGTATGATTTCCAAGTCAGCGTGTAGAAGTGTTGCTTACTGTGCACACGCACATACACACACATGCACGTACACACAGGTACACACATATGCATGCACACACACGCACACAGCCGCCTAGTGTTGGATTGTACCAGTTCATGTGTTTTGATCTGACATCATTTTTTTTTTTTTTTTGTATTTAGGAAAACATTACAAACATTTCTTTTCTTTATTTTTGAGATGGAGTCTCGCTCTGTCACCCAGGCTGGAATGCAGTGGCACAATCTTGGTTCACTGCAACTTCACCTCCTGGGTTCAAGCGATTCTCCTGCCTCAGCTTCCAGAGTAGCTGGGACTGCAGGTGCATGCCACCACACCCAGCTAATTTTTTGTATTTTTAGTAGAGATGGGGTTTTACCGTGTTCGCCAGGATGGGCTTGATCTCGTGATCCGCCTGCCTTGGCCTCCCAAAATGCTGGGATTACAGACAGGAGCCACTGTACCTGATCTTAAATGAACACTTCTTTGTTTTGACAGTTTTTGCATAAAATCAGTGTCTTGTCTACAGAGTCTTTATGAAAAGACATGCTCTCCTACCTGTGCTGTTTCTCACATTCAGACAATAGATTCCTGATTTCTTGCCCATTTTTGTTCTAATATTTTCCGATGTAGAAGCCTTAATTTTTAACCAGGGAAATCTGTAGATGTATTTACTTCTTCATTGCTCATTACTGTAGAAAGACATTTCCCCAACACAAGACGAACTTCTCTAACTTGTGATGGAGCTATTTTTTCAATGATGTGATTTTTGTGTGTAACTATAAAATCTAAATGGAACTTGTTTTGTGTTTCAATGCAAAGCAAGGCACTTCCTGAATTGTTCTAGTCACTGTCTGGTTTTTCCAACCCCATTGAGCCACTGATTCTCCTGTTTCCCTCTGCTTTGGGTCCCTCCTTGATCAGAGGTTAAATGCTCATCTAGACCATGATCTCCTTCCTTCCACCTAGGCTGTTCCATTCTTGCATTAGTATCCATTTATTCTAACTAAAAATGTAAAAAACAAGCAAACATTAAAAAGGCCAGTCATCTCTCCAGCTTGATTAAGTGCTTTGACATTTTCAAGAGAAGTTTCCTATACTTAAAGTGAGAAAATTTAAACTATCAGCCAGGTGCAGTGGCTCACGCCTGTAATCCCGGCACTTTGGGAGGCCGAGGCGGGCGGATCACCTAAGCTCAGGAGTTCGCAACCAGCCTGGGCAACACAGTGAAACCCTGTCTCTACTAAAATACAAAAAATTAGCCGGGCATGGCATCGTGCGCCTGTTATCTCAGCTACTTGGGAGGCTGAAGCAGGAGAATTGCTTGAACCTGGGAGGCAGAAGTTGCAGTGAGGTGAGATAACACCATTGCACTCAAGCCTGGGCAACAAGCAAGACTCCACCTAAAAACAAAAACAAAATTTAAACTCTTGAAAGGTACCCAGTGAATAGAGCATCCTCCACTCCTCTGCAGTGCCCTGGGTCTTTTTCCTCAAATAACTATGAGAAATCATTTCCTGTTAATTCTTTGTCCAAATCATGTATCAGTGTATCTGTATTAAAAAGACATTATATTATACACTGGTGGTCCCCAACCTTTTTGGCACCAGGGACCAGTTTTGTGGAAGACAATTTTTCTTGGAGTCTTGCACTATTGTCCAGGCTGACAGAGGCTCGCCTGGAGTGCAGTGGCATGATCTCATCTCACTGCAACTTCCACCTCCCAGGTTCAAGCAATTCTTCTGTCTCAGCCTCCCAAGTAGCTGGGAGTACAGGCACGCGCCACCATGCCCAGCTAATTGTTCTGTAGTTTTAGTAGAGATGGGATGGGGTTTCACCATGTTGGCCAGGATGGTCTCAATCTGACCTTGAGATTCGCCTGCCTTGGCCTCCCAAAGTGCTGGGATTACAGGTGTGAGCCACTGCACCTGGCCGGAAGACAATTTTTCTATGGACTGGGAGGTGGAGGTGGTTTGGGGATGACTGAAGCACATTGCACTTATCGTGCACTTTATTCTGATTACCTTGTAATATGTAATGAAATAATTATACAATTCATCATACTGTAGAGTCAGTGGGAGCCCTAATCTTGGTTTTTTTTTTTTTTTTTCCCTGCAACTAGATGGTCCCATCTGAGGGTGATGGGAGACAGTGACATATCAGACATAAGATTCTCATAAGGAGCATGTGACCTGACCCCTTACATGCACAGTTCACAATAGGGTTCATGCTCCCCTAAGAATCTGATGCCACTGCTGATCTGACAGGGGGTGGCACTGAGGTGGTAATGCCTGCAATGGAGAGTGGCTATGAGCTGTGGGGGACCAGAGGGTTTTTTTCCAACTCCATGGTGACCCAAGAGGGAAAGTGACAGGCTGCAGGTCTCAGGGCTGGCTGGTGGTCAGGGTCAGTACTAGACTGCAGGACTCCTGACTCAGACTAAGGCGTTCCCCATTGTGTGTTACAGAGACCGGCAGAAGATAAAGGGTCTCAGAGGACAAGGATGCTGGTTCTACCAAATGGTGCTGACCCTACTGAGAGTAAGTGTTTTGCTGCTGGAGATGCAGCAGGAATGGAGGGACTAAGGACAGTGTTCTAACTGGTGTCCCAATTGCAGAGGGTGCTCTTCCAGAGCAATCCATGCCAGAAACTGGGGGTTCTATGTTACAGACCATCAAGACCCTAAATTATCTTCTCCCGTCTCTTCTCCTCACTCTACCTCATCCTCTCTGCACCCTATTGACAGCACTAACCACTCCGTCCATCCCCTCATTCACCTCCTCTCTCCTCCTTTGCTGTTCAGGACTTCTTGAGGGGCTGTCCTCTCCTGCATGGCACCGCTGACTTCAGTGGGCTAATGAGCTCTTGATCTGTGCCTAAGCCCAATTTGCAGCACTGTTGTATAAACAATATGCCAATACCAAAGACTTGATACAAGAAAGTGGAAACTATTTCACTCATTATTTTGTTAGTGAAACACCAGAGGTTGGGTCTAGGTCTTGGTGCTCAGAGAGCCAATCATTGAGACAAGTATTGACAAGGAAGAAGGCTTTAATTGGGTGCTGCAGCCAAGGAGAGGAGAGCTCAGTCTCAAATCCATGTCCAGGACTGACTAAAAGGAAGGGTTTATGGAGTAGGGATAAAATGTAACAATGTGTAACAAAACAGGAACTAGGGAGGGGCAAGGAAGCAATCAAGATGAAGGAGGGGTCCAGCATATCACTGGTTATAGTGATCTGGTGAGTTTCCGAGGCCTGAAGGTCATTTCCTGAAAAAGGAATTCAGATATAACAAATGTAAGATTCGAGCTTTAAGAACGGAAAGGTCAATTTTTATGTTTATTTAAAAAACAAACAAACAGGCTGGGCGTGGTGGCTCAAGCCTGTAATCCCAGCACTTTGGGAGGCCGAGGTGGGTGGATCACAAGGTCAAGAGATCGAGACCATCCTGGTCAACATGGTGAAACCCCGTCTCTACTAAAACTACAAAAAATTAGCTGGGCATGGTGGCGCGTGCCTGTAATCCCAGCTA